CCCCCCTTCCTTTCTCTGTCTCTCCCCCCTCCCCCCTCCCATACATTCTTCAGGCGTTGACTTTGATCTGATAACATGACAACGTTGTACCGGGTTCTGATCCTTCGATGTAGCTCCCTTCTCACGTCATCCCTACCACCCCCTTACACCTTCTCTCTCTCTCTCTCTCTCTCTCTCTCTCTCTCTCTCTCTCTCTCTCTCTCTCTATCAACGCGTCTCTCCTGTGGCACAGTTTGTGTGATACGGTCTTCTAAAAGTAGTTTTCGAGAGTCTAAAATCATACCAAAAGGAATTGTCATAGAAGTTTCATGTCCATAATGTATTTGTATGTGGGTGTGCATTTGTACATGTGCCTGTATGGGTGTGTGTACATAGTATGATGTAGGCCTATATATTATGTTTGTGCATGTGTGTATGTGTTCATTATGTAGTATTTGTTTCTGTATTCGTATGTATGTATGTGTGTATGTGTATGTGTATGTGTATGATTGGTATATATTGTGTATAATGTATGTGTACATGTGTACATGTGTACATTTATATGTATACAATATGTATATTTGTATATGTATGCGCATGTGTATGTGTGCCTGTTTGGGTATGTGCATAATATTATGAATATATGTTGGTGTATGTGTGTATGTGTGTTTGTGTGTATCATGTATGTGTATGTGTATATGTATGATTGGTATTGTGCATGTGTATGTACATGTGTACAATATGTTTACGTATACGTGTGCCTGTGTGGGTATCTTTAGCTTTTGGTAAGTGTTTTACGGCATTAGAGGTGTACAAGAGTGAAACAAATACAAAAAAGAAGGAGGAGAGATCAGGACAATAGATGTTAGACAGGAAAGAGCGCCCGTCAACCACCCACGTATGGGTATGTGCATACTAAGATGTATAATATATAATATGTTTGTATATGTGTGTATGTATTCATTATGTAAGTGTATGTGTAGGTGTATGTATGTAGGTGTGTTTGTGTATGTATTTTTTGGGTTTTTTTTGTAAGTGTTTTACGGCTCTAGCAACTGCATAAGGCATAAGGTCATATGAGCGCGCGGGACACATTAAGCATTTTCAGTTGGTAGGAAATTTTGCATTTTGCCTGGGTGGCGGCCGAAGCCTACTCTTATCGATTTTAGATCACCAAGGAATCTTTAACGTGCACACCTTGCACACGAGACCTCCGTGATTGTTCGCCCTTATCAGAGAAGGCTTTTTGTAGATCATTTCTACCAGAAGATCAGGGGTGGGGCTGAAAGAGAGCAGTAAGGAGCCAAGGAGTAGCAATAGAAAGGCTGCAGAAAGAGTCTGGAGCCCAGAGGAGGGGGCAAAGGAGGTGAGGGGGTTGGGGCAGAAAGTGGAGACGAAAGCAGACGACAGAACATTGCTAGGGAGCAGGAAAGGAGGTGAAAGGGGACAATTTTAGAGAAGAAAATGCGTCCGTCGCTACCAGGTAAGAGACGGTTTACGCAGCGTTTGCGCGCATACTTTGCCGAGGAAAAAACGCAAAACTTGTGTTCGCAGGGGGTGCGTGAACTGCTTCTCGGGGAAATATTGGTGCTCGCAAACGCTGCGTGAAACGTCTCCAATAGGGACATGTACGTGCCGAAGATTAGAGGTGTTACAGGGGAGTTACACACAGACTCAGACACACACACACACACACACACACA